CCACCAAGCCCCTACCCCCCCCCCCCCCCTTTTTTTCTGAAGTATAATGGCAGAGCTTAGATGGAGTAACACCCGATAGAGTGAGAGAAGTCCTCACAGGTCTACCCACAGTGTTTTATGACAGATTAGAGTCGAGGAGGAGCTTAGGACTTCCCTCGGTTCTGCAATGCTTATTGCCGCTCTGATCTGAGGTCTGCAAGACGATTGCTAGGGTCAGGAACTGGCGGCATGACGGGGTCCCGATCTACCTGTCACATTGCTGTGACAGATCGCGATAGACCAGTTGTGGATTCTATTTAACTTGGGGAAAAATTGGGGTGTGTTTCAAACAGCTGATGGAACAGATTATGAAGGTATTATGATTTCAGTGCAGCAGATGCAGTGTGAACAGAATGTTAGGAGCTTACTGGATTTCTGACAGGATCAACAACAGGTATAGTTTATGCACTCGTTGAACAAGTGAACAGATCTAACAAAACAAAACATTCCAGGCAACATTTTTATTAACCCTTGCAGTGAGTTATTGAAAGGTTTGCCTGGAGTTTTTTAACAGACCAAAAGGGTGAAAATAAGACAAGTGCATTGTTTGGGTTTATTTACACTTTAATTACATGTTTTAATAACTTAATCAGTGTTTTAATGTCTTCCTGCCAGTGAAGCACATACATGCGTCAGCCAGCCCACTGTTCTGTTCCCGAGAGCACACAGTCACTATTTATGATCGGGAACCGGATGGACAGGCTCCTGATCATATGACCACTAAGACAGCCAATCACAGCGTTCACATAATCAGGACGCCCGCCTCCTCCTCCTGTCATTCAGAACCACTTAAAGGGCCAGTGGAAGCCAGCTCCAAGCAGTTAATCTTCCAAGAGTTTGTCTTCAGTGATGATTTTAAATCTGCCAGGAGTTTGTCTTCAGTGATGATTTCTCCTCTTTAATGCTGTCTTTAGGCCAGTTAGATTGACGAGGGGTTCAGCTCTCCATATACATACAGACTATTTTAGAGGAAGCTCTCTTTCTCTCTCTGCCAATAGTCACCACGTGTATGTGCTGCTGTTGACTTTCCCCTTCCAATAGTCATCAGCTCACATGTCATTCGGGTAGGATGGAAAATGTTGTTATTTAGGCCTGGTTCACACCTGGGCGTTTTACAGCGCGTTCCTACGCTCTGTAAAAACGCTCAACATGTGAAAACCAATGATTGCCTATGGGCATGGTTCCCACCTGGGCATTTTATCGCGCGTAGGAACGCCCTGCAAAACGCCCTACGCCCAAAGAAGTACAGGAGCTTCTTTGGGGCGTTTTGCTGCACGTTGCCATTGGTATTCCCGAGTGTGTTTCGGGGTTAACAAAGCGGTAACCCCGAGCCACACTCGGGAATACAGCATACAGGTCTTACCTTGTCCGCGATCCCCACTGTGTCTTCGGCGGCTGCCGACTTCTGGGCTCCGTCCCTTGCGAAACTAAAAAAAAATTAAAATATTTTTTTTTTAAACAGAGAAAATAAATAAATAAAAAAAAAATCATACCGCCAGTGAAACACGCGTTTCACTGAACGAAAAAACGCGAGAAAAACGAGCATGAAAAAAAATGCTCAGGTGCGAACCCAGCCTTAAGGGCTGAATTCAGTTTCTGTGTATAGCTTTTAGACAGCCATTTTTATTGCTTGGGTATTAACGGTCAGCTCTATCCATAAGTCATATTTCAGTTTAGTATGTTTGCTGCAAGCTGAATCAGTAATTGCTCCCTATACCTCTCCGGGACATCAGTTGTGAGAAATCCCCACCAGTACGCACAGTTCTGCCCTCCTGCCACCCCATTATAAAATCTTGACTGATGGATTCGTCAATTTTCTGTCCCTCCATTAAAAACCCCA